ACCAAATAAAGCAGCACAACATTACAGTAACTAACAATAAATACACCACTAACTTACGTGTACTATTAGAGCATTTATGTCATTTATTTAAACTTTATTTTACCAGGTAAATTAACTGAAAACCAATTCTCACTGCTTTACGTGATATTCGGGAGAAATAGCAGATTACGCATCGGAACTGCCTGGGATACAAACGTCATGCGTGTAACTAAACTCTTCAGCCAATAAGAGCAAAGGTGTATCGTCACGGAGGCGGTTCCAGTTTGTGCACCCGGGTGAGAGGTCGCAATGCATCTAACCGTAATGCATTGCGTCAGGATCAGAATGTGTTTCTTTCAGCCAGCGCTGTAAGCAAGTCGAAGGCACCCAATGACCGGACTGGGGAAACAAACTGAAACGCGGACTTAATACAGAGGACTAATGACAACAACCAGAAACAGCTGATCACATGGGGATCCCACACGAGGTTAATGAGGGGGCGTGGCACACGGAAGGTGCGGACGATTGGGGCAGGACAGGGGTAATGTTGGGATATGATCTTTATCGTTTTGGAAGCCATTGAGAAAAAAATGCTCTTCTTGTTTTGTCCTGTTCATTTTGTGTTTAAATGCTAAAAAAAAAAAAACATATTTAGGTGTAATTTTGGGGGGCCGGGAACCAATTAATTGGTTTTCCATTATTTCTTATGGGAAAAATTCGATCAGAGCTTGAACTTTTTAGGATTCCGGAACGGATTAAGTTCGAGAACCGAGGTACCACTGTAAATCTAAAAAGACATTCAGGCTTGACAGACCCACCCACTAATGCAAAGTTAGCTATGAATATGAATATGAGTCATTTAGCCTCTCAGAGTAGCTTAGTCTGTGTTTCACTTTGACATCATGCTTAAATTTACTGTATGTCAAAATAATCGCTGCTAACACATCATCTTACATAATTCGGTACACAACCATATATTTTTTGTAAGTGCATTGTGTGTTCTTGAGTAGACCTGAACAATACTGGAAAAAGTTCTCATTGCAATAAAGCTTTTGCCATAGTTAAGAGTTTAAAATGAACTGTATAGCCAAATAGAACTTATCTACCAACATCTGTCAAAATAATTTGGTGGTATGGTCATTAGTTGTGGCAACAGACAAAGCAGTAATGACAAATCACTTGCTTTTGCTCAATATCATCTCTGTAGAATACAAAATATTTCCACACAGCGGGAGACGAATGTCTTTTCGTGACCAGTTCTTCTTCACTTTTCTACGAATGCGCCAGACAGTCTATGAGTGAATCAAACAGCACGGAGCAGAATGATGTCATGGAGAGCTTGTGCAAAAATCGGTGAACTTCAGACTTTTTTTTAATATACATATACTAGGTAATGTTGAAAAGAGGAGACAAAAAAATTGCAATCTGTTCTGAATTTTGTTTCGTATCACAAACCAAAAATTATGGTTTGAAGTGAACCCAGCAGACTGTCGCGGTCCTTGCATAGTGACAATTACATGTGTATGAAATGCCATGTCAGTATTAATATCACACACTGTGCATGCCTAGTATTCAGGACGGCACGGTGTCACACTGAGTAGCTCTGTCACCGCACACCGCCACTCTGTGTGTGTGTGTGTGTGTGTGTGTGTGTGTGTGTGGAGTTTGCCTGTTCACCCTGTGTGTGTGTGTGTGTGTGGCTTTTTGGCCGATCTTCTGGTTTCCTTCCACTGTCCAGAAACATGTAACTTAAATGAACTGGAGTGCCTAAATGTATCATTATATTACATGATATATAAACGACTACTTGAAGAATCGTCAGATTAAATCGGTAGATTACTTGATTATTGATGTAATTAACAGTGACAGTCCTAATTGATATAAATCTCATTTAACGCTTAGTAGCTTAGTAAATGTTATGGCAGGCAGACACTCAAAATTTTTATATTTGTATCAGAATAGAAAAAATATAGCGGCGTCTCTAATGACTACTGGCCTACCATTATTCTTGCAAACTGGATTAAGAAACAAAGAGGACCATTGATGTACAGGAGGCCAAATCTTTGCTCACTTGTCCCAATGCCAAACGTACGTCTCAATGGTGCCAGCAGAAAAATCTTGGGCTGTTGACAGTATACAACATGTTTTGTTCTCTGATAAGTTCACCTTCCCTGTCTTTCCCACATCTGGGAGAGCTTCGGTGTGGAGAAGCCCCAAAGAGGCTTACCACCCAGACCACTGCGTACCCAGAGTGCAGCATGGGGGTGGATCAATGACAGTTTGGGCTGCAATGTCATGGCATTCCCTAGGCCCACTAACTTGTTCTAGGTGGGTGCGTCACTGGCGAGGACTGCTGAACTATTTTGAAGGACCATCCTCACCCAGTGGTTCAAACATTGTACTCTAAAGGTGGTGCCGTGTATCAGGATGATAATGCACCAATACACACAACAACCGTGGCAACAGAGTGATTTGATGAACATGAAAGTGAGCTTAAACATCTCCCATGACCTGCCCAGTCACCAGATCTGGATATTATTAAGCCACTCTGGGGTGTTTTAGAGGAGTGAGTCAGGAAACATTTTCCTTCACCAACATCACATAGTGACCTGGGTACTGCGAGAGGAATGGCTCAAAATGGCCACTCTGCAGGACATGTATCTGTCATTCCCAAAATGAACTGATGCAGCATCGGCTACAAAAGGAGGCCCTACACCATACTAATAAATTATCGTGGTCTAGAACCAGGTGTTTCAGTTCCATTGTCCCGTTTCAGCTCCTCCACCTGTATTACAAATCACCTCATCATGAATAGACATTGGGAGACCAATTCTTACACAAGGAGGGTTCAAGATTATGCTGGATCAGCTGTGTATTATTACAGAAGTCTAAACAAACCATACATAAAGAATCCTGATAAAGTCTCTTTGGAAGAGCAAACACCCAAAAGCCATGATTCTACTGCCAACACCCATACTGGTTCAGTAATTCCAGGGACCAGTTTGTATGGAGGCCAGCTACACAGGTGCACAGGGCTACACAGACCACACCTTCAGCAGATAGTCCAAGTCACGCTTTGGCATTGTGATACCAAACATGTTTTAAGTGTGGCTTTCTACTATGGCAGGAACCTGTTTAACCAGAGACCTTGTTGTGCAGGAATCTACATACCTGTGCCAAAATAGGCCCAGTAGTTTGCTTTGTGCCATAGGCCCGAAAGCTGAAGGAGACCAAGAGCTCCATTAGAAAATAGTGGAAGTTAATCTGCCTGATCAAGTGTTTGGTTGGAGGGACCGCAGTCATCTCCCTGGCCAGCCTTTTGCATGCCTGACCCCCCCCCATTGCCTGGAAAGCACCCAGCCCTTGTCAGCAGAATACCACAAACCGTCAGTATCCCTAAGGTCAGCATTGCGCCAACCCCCTCCCCCCCCCAAACCCCCATCCTACATTCTTCACATTCACCACACCCCCAGATGTACACTTGCCCATCTCCCACAATGCACCAGGAGCAAGCGGGTGTGTCACTGCCTTGATATTTTGGGACTCGATTTAACTGGCAGGGGAATGGCAAAACCAATCACAAAACTCAGAGGGGCAAAAGGGTGCTGGGAAAGGAAAGACGTTAACTGTCAGTCTTTCCAACAGTGTGTATATACTTTGAATGTGAAGCTTGGGAGCTCATGAAGATGGCTGGCTGTCACTAAGCAACAGGTGCTACGAGAGCCACGCTGGAGAGAACGATCAAAGGTCATTCAGAATGGTCACAAATAGCCCTTCATTTCCGTTTCTGAAGTATCTGCTTCTTAGAAACATTTCAGGAATCATTTCCATGAAAGGATAAATGGCTTTGACATATAAAGATTCAGAGCTGTTACATTCTAAGCACACAAGGATGGGGTTTTATACATGGCTAGAAACGTACCACTTGGACGTCTTACCACTTAAACCTGCAATTAACCATGAAACAAGGCAACTAACACAATAAGGCAACCAGTTCCGAAAGTCTGCCCCACTTTACAAGGATATTACTGAACTCGTTCAAATCTTGGAGATAAAGTAGATGACGGATCTTCCAGCCAGCAGTCACGCTCTTAGAAAGCAGAAACATGCAGCAGGTTTCACATATGCTTCTGTAAAAGCTCTACATGCTAAGGACCCTCAGTACCATTCAGGCTGAGCGGAAGCACGATTTGAAGTCAACAGCAAAGCAGTTCTAATAAACCAAATGGAAGTTAATCAGATTCTACTAATCTGTTAGGATTTTCCAAAGATATCTTAAACACATCTTAAGACATTCCATCTGCTAAAAAAGTATATAGAAACAGTCCAGACAACCTCTCCACCACACTAGGCTGGACTCGTGCACCTGCTCTCAGATTACCTCAAGCTGGGTTCGCTTGTAAGCCAGCCAAGGCATCCTCTGACCTGCTCTTGCTCCAGTCAGCTTAACAGTTGACAATTGTCCAACATGTCATACCAAAGCTTAATTGCTTTCAACCATGCTGACCACACCTGCCTGCAAGTGGGGGGGAGAGCGGACCTGTGCAAGGCACAGGTTCCCATCACATGCCATCATATCAGTGCTTTTCTGAAGTGTATTCCAGCACAGAACACTTTCAGAAGTTTCCCAATTGAACCGTTCCATTCAGACTGCTACAGTGCACACATTCCATTCCACAAAGTCCCAACTTTTGACACCATACCACACTTTGTGAACTCAATGTATTACATATCAATAGCATTTATCAAGACAAACATGCCTAACCCCAGCTCACACCCACTTCTACAAGCTTTATTAAAACTTCAACTCCAAAAAGACATTCACTCATTTCACTTGCTGGCAGGTCTGACAATAGCCTCTAAATGTTCGACAGTCAATGGGAACATTAAACCAAATACCCAGACAGAGACGACAAAGGGCAAGTCACACCCCAAGGCCTATTCCAAACTGCTGGATACGACAGTACAGTCATGTAGATCACAGGTCATCACCATTCAAGTCAAGTCAACGCCTCTCTCACCTTGCACTTCATCATGTCGTTTACACGCTGCTGCATGGACTGTCCTGCCTTGGGCCGTACCAGCACGTAGACAGTGCTGACGCCAGGGCAGCAACGCAGAAGCTTCTCCACCAGCACCTTCCCCATAAACCCAGTGGCACCAGTGATGAGGACACTCTTCCCTGCATAGTATTCTGCAATGGACGCCATGCTGTCCTCCCGTCCACAAGTCTGGTCTCGCCGCTGTTCTGGTCCCAGGCTGCCTGAGGTGGGCCCTGTCGGAAACGGAGGCAAGTGTGAGTAAGACGTCAAGAATGCGATGCATAGTACATCTTGTATTTCAGCATGGATAAGCGGGCATGTCATCACCCCAGGATTAGGTGAGTAATAGTAATGATCACTTTTTCCATGAGGAAAAAGAAAAAACCCACTTCTGAATCTCGAGCCAATAGTAATAAAGCCATTTAGTCATCAGGGTTGCCCAAAAGGTACTTCACAGCCAGTTAAGCAAAGGGGTATTGAATGGGTCCAGAAGCCTACCCTAAAACCTAGACAGAGGACCGTTTGCCGGAAACATTTAGGGCTGGGAGAGGAAAGATCGTGGCCCAAGGGTGTTCCTGCAGCTCTTTGGGTACTGATGACTCAAAAAGACTCAGGGCAGTTTGTGCAAGGCACAGTGGCAACTCAAAGCCCACATGCTGCAGGACTCCAACTCAGACCTGAAAAAGCCACTAACCAGTCCTCTTAAACTCCTATCTGAACTAAGGCTGCCTGCCAAGCTTTGAGAATTATCAGCCACTCTTTCACCATCTATTCTGTTCCTTCAGCATAGCAGTAAACAAGTCGAGAGACGGAGTCTTCGTCCCGCTGCTGCACGGCTGGCAGCATGTGTTTACACAGCTGGCCATCTGGGCGACCAACTCTGAGGAATGCCAGCAAAGAGCCCGCTCACCTTGTCGTGGACAGCGAGTGGCGTCTCCCTCCTTTCCGGAAGCTTATCAGCTGACTGAACTCGCGTTAACCTTTCACTGGCAAGTGGACTATAAAGCTGTGGTTCATCGCTACCGTGCATCAGCATGACGTTTCTGAAGTGATATGGTGACTTATCCACCGTCCTTTTGCATCTGCTCATTATCTGTTGCCATCTGAACATAAGCTGTAGACAGCGTCAAGGTGAACGTCAGACATCCCGGCTGCTCAAGAAATAAGGGCCCCCGGCCTTGGTATCCCATAACAGGCAGGGCCACTGATAAGGAATAAACCCACCAAGACTAGGAGCAACATCATTGCCACTGCTTCCCTGCATCAGACTCCGGCAAATGCCATCCGGTGTCAGTCATCAAAGACAGGAGCTATCTTACAAGGCTTTGAAGTTCTGATGCATTTCAGAAAATGAGTTGGCCAATGGCCTGGGAACGCCTTGGTATTCCCCCGGAGGAGCTGGCTGGTGAGAGGGAGGCCAGGTCATCCCTGCTTAGATTGCTGCCCCCGCAAACTGACCCCGAATAAACCATCAGAGAATGGAATGGAAGGAGTTATATATATTTTTTTTTTAAGAACCTTAATTGAATCAACCCGTCCTCAAATGACATTGATGATTGTGTGCGCTTATTTAGCGTTCAAATGAATCTTATTGAATCAGCATCTGCCAGGCTCAGGTAGCAATCCAGGCCATATGGGAATCACGATTAAAAGCTCAAATGAAAAGCAAGAGTATCACTCTGCATTCTGAGCATACTCAACAGAACTCACCTGAAAGGTCAATAGGAATTTTCAAAATGAGTCCCTGAGGATATTTAGGGGTTGAGTAACCAAGTATAACCTCTGCTGCGGGGGGTTGGGGTGTATGGTCATCAGCATCAAATCCCACAGAAAAGCATGTGATGACTAAGTATCAAGTGGGTGGTACAGCATCTTGGGGAAACTCCCATGTTCCCCCGAAACACAAGACTTTCTCAAAATATATATGACCCATGCGTCTATAACCCAAGATCTGACACTGGGAAATCACCTTCTTCAGACACCTTCCACAACTCACACCACTTGCCCAATAACATTCATTTGTTCCCTGCTTCAAAACACTGCAAGGGGGGCCTCCTGTAGACCCTCAAGTAGGCTCTGACTCGCCTGTTTACCACCCCAGACCAGCATCGGGTGGTAATAAATTACCACACAAGCATGACGGCTTTCTAGTTTTTAATTTAAAAAGGGCTCCCCAGATGGTTGGACCTGCTCCCTCAACAGTGCTATTATTAACCAGAATCCTCCATGAGCCCAAGAAGGGCAATAGTCCTGGCAGAGCATCATACAGAAGGGGAGATCGCCAGTCAGCACAGAGTACAGATGCCACAGGGCATGACGCAGCCAATGCTAATGCCAGCCTTCCCCCCCCCCCCCCCCGACACATCACCAGGACAACCGCATATAAATACACTTCCCTGGAGCGGTTTACGACTTCCTATTCAGCTCAGCCTTATGCTTCTGTTGACCCTCGTAGACACTGCTCCCCTCAAAGTCCGATGACCTCCAAGGTAGTGTAGCACCGAGCTGTTCACTAAACCATCCTAACAACCTTCCCATTGCCAGCCAAACACACACACAAACAGAAAATCACCCATACAGTGGTGAATAACATTAATTTAACTCACAACCAAGCCTCTTACATATGATTTTCCTTTATATCCTTAGAGGCACCTCCACCGTACTTTAAGGAGCATCACCCTGTGCCAGGAGATGGATGAGCCTGCGATGCGACTGATTACAGGACTAAAATATCTGCCAGAGCAGATATCCAGGAGGATACAGTGCCAGGCTGCAGCCAGCAGGAGGGCAGAGTCACTCTGGCCTTCATTTAGCAGTAGAGTGGGTGACCGATCGCTGCCCAGAAAGGAAAAAATCCAGACGACACAAGCACTTCTAGGTCAAGGTAAACGATTCTTTCTTTCTTCCAAGAGTCAGGCTTCAGGCTCCTGGGTCAGAACCCCCTCTAGATGGACTGTGTGTGGAAGAATGGAGATGAGCTAGAGTAGCATACGCTGGCCGCTCTCCTGCAGCTCACATGCTCTTTGGAGAAGCTTCAGATAAAGTTGCTTAAGGATGGGAAACCCTCACATTGCTGTTATTTTCTTGACAAATCCCCCCACCCCCGTCAGCAACAGTAAGGGAAAGCATGGTTTGCCTTGATTTCAAGTTTAGGAGAATGCTAACAATTTTTTTATCCAGCCAGTAGTTCAAGTAGCATGACTGAAAATATTTTGTATGTGGAAAACCTACCAAGCACCTTTTTGACCACTTAACACACACATACAAAAAAAAAACCTTTAAAATTGCAAAATTTGTGCACCCCTCCCCCCCACTCCCTTCCCCCACAACTTAAGGCCTTGGACAGTCTTCCGTTGCACCCTTCAGTACCTCAATGTCTCTCCTCTGCATCACTGACCTTCGGCCACACTCAGCACGAAAAACGCCCTTACAAAAGGACCATGTCAGCCAAGGAGGAGCTTACAGCACAGAACAGCACAGAGGAGCTTACACCACACCTTCAGCAGAACAACATCTAGTTCCCTCCAAACCCAACTCAGTCGCTATGTAGGTCATACTGCAGTCAACAAATCAAACCCAGAATATAAACATCATCCCCATTCAAGTGCTACAAGAGGTTATTGAAACACTAAAACCATGCTGCTGTGATACCCAGAAGTAAAATAACATGATTTGCCAACTGCTAGTAAAATTAAATTAGCATGGTAAAATCACTATTATTTGCCATTCTTTTAAATACTCCCATTTTGACTGAGGTTGGAGCCAATTTGACAGCTATATGTAGCCCAGAAGGGCAACAGCTTGGTTCCCTAAGCACTTATTTTCCTTCACAGAGCGGCTACTTTAAATTCATGACGGAGTCTGTAATCACATCGTCGGTAACTGAATGAGGGACAGGCAGGGCACAGGGTTGATTTCCTGGCCCGATCAGATGTCCTGGCCCTGGGCTCAGCTACCTGTGGACGGATCAGGCTTCACTCCATCAGCCAGCCGTAAACTTGAGCGTCACGACGGGTCTGACGATCCCCTTTGGTGGGTCGCAGCCTCCATCGCTCCCCACGCCTATCGCTTCGCGTCAGCCCAGGGAAGATGGATGACGCACGAACACACACCCGACTCAGATAATTGGAAAACAATCAGCCTTCAAGGCTGAGCGCGCAGCCTGCCCAACTCAGAGTGGTGACGTCAGACAGCCGCGGACAAGCCCCGGTCATAACCCGCGCAGGTGGAACTGGGCACTCTCTAGTGCATCGGTCAGAGTCAATGACACACGTACACCCCCCACCGGAAAAGCCCCCTCACTCCACCATGTGCCCGGAACCACAGAAGCATCTTGCCGTTGGCTAATCAAGCTAAAGTGGAAAGAGAGGATCGGATTGCCGACCTCATTTTAGGGAAACGACACTGTAAAAATACCTGCAATGTCTGAGTGGGCTTCAATTTTTAATTCCCAAGGCCTCATGCCCTGTGGTGTCACAGGCCACAGTCTGGAATGACCGACGTGATGCCACATTATCAAACATTTACGTAGCGAGCAAGGACAGAGCGTGCTCAGATCATGAAACGTTACCACATGGAAACTAGAGGTTGGGGAAACATGGGAACAAATCCCAGTTCACGCTGAGGCTAGATGTTGACACAGGATGGCAGTTTGTCTCCAGTGCTGGGGGGGGGGGCAGACCAGAGTCAGTAACATACTACTGCAGTAAGCACATGCATGCAGTATTAAGCGTTTCAACTGACCAAAGAATCTTATGAGGTTCCTTCAAAATATGGACAGTAAGTAAACACATCAGCCTCAGGAGAAGGTGGGGCTGCTTCCATGCCGATTCTCTTGGCCCCTTAGGCAGGAAAGGGCAAATCCCTATCAAAATGCCCAGCTGGCACCCACAATTCATCTGGCTCTTCTTCAGGATTGCCCATCAGACATCAGTGCAGCAGGAAGAAGGACACCCACCCTTGTCTCCAAGGTGAAGAGACGGCTCAGTTCAGCCTGAGGTCAAAGTAACATCACGCGTAGACACCATGTAGATTCGGAGATGACTATCTGAGGGGACATTTCTTAAATTCTAAAGGCCCAGAGTCATAAGTAACTGGAGTCAGACTCTGGTTTGGAAACCAAAACAAAACCATAGTAAACAAACAGGTCAAGGGTAACAAGTTCAACACTGTCAAATCCCATTTGGTGAGCCATCAACAACGACAGTTGAAAGTTACATTTATATAGCGCTTT